CCCGAGCCCAGTTTAGCCGCCGGCCGCCTGTCCCCGCTGGCGTCCGGCCAGGGCTCGGCCTCGGCCGCGGCCAGATCCCGCTCCAGCGCCCGCCCCCGGGGCTGGGGGGGCCGGGGGCACCCGGGGGACCCGCTGCCACCTTTGGGTGCTGGTCCCCGTGGCCTCGGGTCCCTGCTGGCTCCGTGCCCGCGGAGGTGAAGGCACACGGAGCCAGGAGCAGGCTGGGGGGACCCCCGCGAGGCCCGGGGACCTGTCATGCCAAGTGATCATGGGGACAGCACAAGGAGATGTCCCTTGTCACCTCCCTGCCTCCCTGTCACCTCCCTCTGCCACCCCCCATGACACTGCTGGGGAGATGGACCCCATTGTCGCTTGGGGCTGAGAATGGGACAGTCCAGGGACAGGCGAGCCTGGGGGCCATGGGGACAGAGCTGAGTCAGGGACAGGGTGGGTCCCTGGGGACAGGGGACAGGACAATCCCAGGAGTCAGGGGCCCTGGGAGATGAGGGACAGGAGAGCTCGTGGCCAGGGCAGCCCATGGTCCAGGGGATAGGAAAGCCAGTGGCAAGGAACAGGAGTGACTGTGGACTGGGGGACAGGAGCACTGGAACAACCAGTGCTTGGGACACACCATGATCCGTTCTTCTCCCAGTAAGACCAGTTCCTTCTCTAGCACTGCCTTCCCTGCACTGATTTCACCCCGGGGCTGTCCCTGTGCTGGGACCAGCACCCCACGGCTGACCCGACCGTGGTTGCTCCTGGGGGCCCCCCTGTCCCCGTCCCCGTCCCCAGCAGCACGAGCCCCGTGGGCACTGGTGGCACTGGTGTGACGAGTTGCGGGTGCTCTGGGGCGGCGTTTGCGCGTTAATTGACCCCCGCGGCTCTGGCAGCTGAGAAAACAGAGCGGGGCTCATTAGGGGACATCAAAGGACCCCCAGCACGGCCGGGCAGGGACACGGCCCCACCCGCCACCGGCGTTTGCTGCCTCTTCACTGGGATTAAAAGGGGAAGAGGAGGATGGGGATCACCAGGCTGGGAGGGCTGGGGACAGCCGTGAGCAGAGAGGAGGTCCCTGTCCCTTGTCCCTTGTCCCTTGTCCCCTCTCCTCGGGTTAGTGGGACCTGGGGGGACCTGTTCTCTGGGTGACCTGTCCCCAGGGTGACTTGGACAGGGGTGATCCATCCCCAGGGTTAGTTGGGTTTGGGATGATCTCTCCCCAGGGTGACTTGTTCCTGGGGTGACCCATCCTTAGGGACACCCATTTCCAGGGTGACCTGTCCCCAGGGTTAGTTGTCCCTGGGGTGACTTATTCCCAGAGGGATCCGTCCTTGGGGTGACCTGTCCCTGGTGTTTGCCTGATCTAGGGTGCCCCATCCCTGGGGTGACAGACCAGGGGATGGAGGGGACATGCACTCACTGCTGCTTGCAGATGCCCTCCAGCTTGGGTTGCAAACAGCCCCAAGAGCCATAAACCTCCAACCCCCCCCCAAAAAAATTGCTTGGAAAGGGCCACATGGCACAGGATCCAACCCAACTCCAACTCCAATTTCAGCTCCAGCGCAGGACCCCGTGGGGCCCAGATGGGGGGACAGGGACCCCCAGTGTGTCCCAGCAGTGCCCGTGGGGTGCTCTCAGCACTCCCAGGGCTCGGGAGCAATCCCAGATCCTGGCTCTGTTTTCCAAAGCTGGGACATCCAAGCCTTTAAAAAAAAAAAAAAAAAAAACCTCCTCTCCCAGCTCCTGCATTCCTGGGTGGAGAGTTTACATTCCCCCCGTCCCCCGTGATCCCGATCCGCGCTTCGCCTCCCGCAAAACAAAGCGGCCTTGGGTGGGAGCTGCTTTTTAGGGAGCAGGACCTTCCAGCTGGATGAGAGACCCCCGTGGGCAGCACCCCAAAGCCAAAGCACCCAGTGCCAGGCTGGATACCCCAGCCCAGGACCCCCATGGCAAGAGGGACCCCCCCACACACACCTTGAGGTGGCACCACGAGGGCAGGGATTGAGGGGTGCAGGAGGGTCCCCCCGCCCCCTTGGCTGAGGCTGGTCCTGCCCATGTCACCACCAGCACAAAGACAGCAAAAATCACCCCATTTTAATTCCCTTTTCCAGAGGCTCTGAAGGCGGGGGGGAGGGGGGGAGGGTGACAGGGGTGGCTGGGGTGTCCTGGGGGTGCCAAGGGGGTGCTGATGGGGGTCCCGAGCAGCCCAGCCCGACCCTTAAACTGCTTCTCCAAGCCACAGAGGAGGGGGGAAAAAAAAGCCCTGGATAAGTTTCTCCCCCTCTTCTCTCCCCCTTCCAAGTCATCGCTGGAAAATTAAACCGGATCCAAAGAGTTTTTCCTTTCCAAAATGTGTTGGAGAGGCACTGCCTTAACCCCTTCGGCTCCTGCCTCACCCACACTGCAGGACTGGGATTTTTAAGGGGGTTTTGGGATCGTCCCGGGGCTTTGCTGGGGGAAGGGGAAAGGCACAACCGCCCTGTGATCCCTCTTTGTGCTCCAGGGATCCCCAAACCCCCTGGAATGCTGGAGGTGAGAAGCACTGAGGCTCCCTGGGGCGGGTTTTGGGGCACCCCCGGGGCCAGTGCTTCCCGGCCAGGTCTCCCTCTCCATTTTGGGAAGAGTATTTTTTTTCATTCCAATTAAATCCAGCTGATTAAATCCATCCTTCCCCCCCCATCCCCACCGCCAACTCCTCGCCTGAAGCTTGTCCCTCTCCAGCCCAAAATCCCAATGTTCCCCCCGCTCCAGCATCCCCCAAATCCTGACAAACCGAACCGGAGCTGGGACCTGCTTCTCTCCGGAGCCTCGGGATTGGGGACCCACCCCACCCCAGCCAAACCCCTAATCCCAGAGAAAATGTGAGCTATTTCCTCCAGGAGGGGGGCACAGGAGAGGCCCCCCCCACCCCACCCTCCCACTGCAAACCGAAAATTCCTTATTTTTTGGGGTTAAAAAGCTCTTTTTCTCCCCCTTGCAAAGCGCTTTGTTCCAGCTGGAGGGAGGTGCTGGCTCATCCCCACGGGCCCGTGGAAGTGGGGGGGGGGGGCCCACAGCATCCACAGGGACCCCTCTCAGTCCTCCCAGTTTAATTCTTGGGGGGGGGAAGGAAAAAAAAAAAAGCCCTCAGGAATAATCTAGTGGGTTTTTTTGACTCGTTTGTATTTGGGAAGGATTGTTCAAAAAAGGAATTTGGGAGGAA